TCCTAAGTAAGGTGGCATTTGATTGCACTTTTCAGTTGTCTAAATATGAAAATGTTGCCTTTTACATGCCACCTTTGTTTGGTGTTGCATTTGAAATAGGGTTTAAAAAGTTTTTTCATATCTGAAATTTTTATACTCAGGCCTGTCACTTAATGCGCTCAAACACATTTCAGACGAGTCCTAAAGTCAAAAATACCCCTCCCCATTCGACATGTCTCTCTTGTCTTCAAACAACTCTCTCTCTCTCTCCCCGCCCTGTCTTCCTACCGCCGTCGTTGCAACTTGCAGCAACGACGGTTCGGTGAGTAATTATTAATTATTTTAATATTTTTTATTAAACATTAATTATTTTTATTAACTAGTAATTTTTAATTATTTCATTATTTTTTAAAATTATTTTAATTTTTTATTTGTGTAAATTATTAATTATTTTTTTATTTTAATTGTTTCCTTTATTAATCAGTAATTATTAATTTTTTATTTTTTATTTGTATTGTTTTAATATTATTTTGAGGTTGACAATTTATTTTTTATAAGATAATGCAAATTGAACTCAACATTTCTAAATAATATCTTATAGGGGCAAAATAGGTAAATTAATAAATTTCAGATAGTAAAGGGTTGATTCAACACAAACAAAATGTATGGATTCATAACCTCTAAAAAGTAGAAAAGCACGTATGCTTCTTTTCAGATCTGAAATTTCAGATTTATCAAACGTCACCTAACTTTATTATGCTCTCTTATTCTCATTCTTGCCGTTACGTCATCACCTTAGCTGATTTAATAATCGGAGTGGAGTTATTGCCCTTAACACCACACACCAGGCCTCTAATGCTTTTTTGTAACAAGGTGAAGTGTTTCCATAATTTGTAAATTTCTTGTGCATGAATCAATGATTTAATCACTACTTAAGGGGTCGTTACTCTTTTAAGTGAACAATAAAACATCGTAGGAACAACTTTTTTTTTTACAAAGATGATAATAACAGGAGTCGAAATCGCACCACCCTTGGGACAATTCATCCATTGCACCAAATAGACTATCCCTCATTGGTTCACTTTTGGATTCAATGTTAATTTGTACTCGATTTTTCGTTGGGTTTAAAAAGCTTGATGTTTTGGCACATAATATAATGCATAATAATATATTTATGAAAATTTATGGTGTGTTCCACCTCGTTGTTTCCAAATATACAAACTCATAAAAATTTCTTAGGTGGAAGGATTAATAAAAATCACATTTATTTATTATTCTGAACACATAGGTGCCGGTGATTCTATTTGGCACCACATAAGACACATACCCTACCTTTCCCTTTTCTTTCAAATGAAACACACCTTACGCTTGGCTTGGAAGCAGTACAATATGTATAATTTAAATACATACAAAATATAAAGTTTTGCACTCTGTATGTTTGCATTTATATTATTTTCAAATTGAGCTTTAGGCTGTATTTATTTGCAATGCAATTTTATTTGTACTAATACAAGGGAGTGCAAATGAAAAAAATATAAATTCTCGTTTAATTTTATTTCGGGTTTTACTTTATTCTGCTTCATGTCTTAATTTATTTTATTTGCACTGCAATCAAACAAAGTAAGTTAAAATTTAAAACAAAAATAAGTCGGAATTTGCATTTAAATCATTTGCACTGCCATAATTTTGCATCAGTGCAAATTTATTTGCAACCAAACACAGCCTTTAAGTGAATAACATCCTTGTATTTGGCGAATAAATTTTTCTTTTTTTCTTTCTTTCTTTCTTTTGTTTTTTTTTTTTTTTCTGGAAGTTAAAGCAAAAATACTTGATGCCTAGCTGAACATGAAGTAAATACAACACAGCCATTCCAAACACAGCCTAAGCCCCAAGTTAATGTGTTTTTCGTGAACCAATGGGTTGGAGGCCGACCCAACCCCTCTCCACCCCGTGACTTATATAAATTTTGCGATTTTCTTTTAAGTTTTCAAAAATAGAAAGCACTAAATTTTGGGTCATTCAATTCCACTTCCAACTAATTCAGATTTCCCTTTACGATATTAATGATAATGGTGAATACATGACTTCCGAGCCTTCAAATTTAAATATTTTGGTTATGCATTTACCCACAAATAAAATAATTACATTTGGTTATATATTCACCTAATGAATATTAAAAAAACATACAATTGCAATTATACTGTGAGTTGAAAAAGTCCCAAACCCGAACCAATTGGTGATCTCGGATCTGAGTTGCTCCCACTGTTGTGACTACAAGTGAACACATCAATATTTCGTACGCTGATATATATGGTCCCACAATCGTAATTGGGTTCGTGGCACAGTGATGTGAGCAGCAGATCCCAGAGTGCCAATTGCTAAGTGGTAAACCATTAACTAGTATTTATTCAAATTCACGTGGGTTTAGGGTGGAGAATGCTTGGCTGTCTGCGTCAGTACGTTGGATTTGAACAGCACGTGTTGTACATAAGACCATAAGACTCTCCCCGTATGGTACAATAATGTCCATGTGAACTCTATACACCAATGATAGTTACAGAGATTGTGTACACACGCCACACACGTGCGTATCGACTATCGAGTCAAGTTGGGGCATGGGCATCCGTGGGGTGTGTACGCATGTCACACTATATTCTTTTCGGTGAAGTACACTGTGTCTGAAATTACAGTCTCAGCATTTTAAAAGCTGAATTTGTAAAATATAAAATCAAAATTGAAACGAAATTATTAAAAAACATAAACCGATATTTTTGGTTATTTCGGTTAAAATCGACTTTTATTAATATTATACTAATACATATTATTATATATATTAATATATTTATGTATGTTATAATATATGTATATGCTAATGTATTTTATATATAATATATATTATATACATATTATAGTATATTATGTTTTACATATTAATAATATATATTATATTATGTATATAATAAATTTTGATTAACTCGGTTTTTTCGATTAACCAAATTTTTAATACTAAAAACCAAAACCGAAAATGAATCTTCTTAAAAGTGAATTAAGCAAACCAAAAAACGAAGAACCAAATAAATCAAAACCAAAAATTTCAGTTCGTCTTTTCGGTTTTAACCGAACAATGCTCACCCCTATCTATTAGTACCCCACTCCACATCTTGCCCATGGATTTGGCATCGATCCATGGTCAAGATTCATCCCACCTGTACAGGTGGGGCTAAGAATTCTATGGTGGGCCAAACGGTCATTCTCCCTATTCTTTTTAATTGATTCTATTTTATGGTTTATTTTAGAATATGATTTTAAGTGTATTTATCATTTTATGTTCTATTTAAACTCAATGTTTTGTCATCTTCTTCAAATGGGTGGTTGTATACTATAAGAATGCTTCCATGTTTATTTTAGAGAAATTCCCGATTAGTATCCTATACATTGGGTCTAGTTCCATTTTGACCTTGAATTTTAAAATATGATAATTTAGTACCTAAACTTTCAAAACATGCCAATCCAATAATTGGCCATTGAGATGCGACCCCAACTTTTTTGAATAGAAGAGAAATGAATTTGTGACTGTTCATTTTTTGTTAATGTTTGGATAGTTAATTAAGAAAATTAGATGACACTTGAAGGATATTTTTATATCTTTTTAAATGACATTTAACAGTTGGTTAACGATTAATATAGAGTACCAATCGGGAATTTTTGCTTTATTATTATTATTTATATATCTTTTGAAGTACTGCACAACGGAGGTAGCCCATCCCTCAACTCATAACCCCCAACCTAGGTGCAAGGCGGGATTCGATTTACAAAAACCCAATTATATTATACGACGTAAATACGATTTTAAAAATAATAACCAAATAGTATAAATAAATTTCTTTCATCTTTTATTAAAGGTTGAATTTGCTATTCTGCAAAATGGTTTCGCGCCACCATCACACTTCATATTATCATTTCGCAACTTGGGATCTCACACCATTAATGCAGTTGAATTTGTAATTTTGTTCATCAAATCTTACTTGTTGATGTAGGCGTGCTTGGCTCGTCCGATCGCTGGCCTACACGTGTTAATGGCGTGGTTCAGAGCGGACTCAATCGGAACGCGTGCAGGTGACTGGCAGCCTTGGATGGCCGCACTCCCCGTGTATGGACTTCATCTCCATCGTCTTGCCTCTGCAGATTCCAAGTGGTCTCAAGTAAGTGATTGGAACTTAAACTCTCAAGCTAGCATTTGAAATCTCCTATTCTCTCATAATCTCGTTTGAGTGTTCATAATTCAGACCTCGTCCACTTTGCATCTCCCGGTACAAACTTAATCATCATATTCCTCGTCTCATGTATCAACCTAGGGCCTTTAACATTCTCCTTCTCGCAGGTTTGACCCGCTAGTCCTCGGCCACTCCAAATACCTCGGACTTCAAACACCTCAATTTTATCTCGATTAGGGAGTGAATTTACAGTGTTTTCCTCGGCCATTCCGAACATAACACTTGTTATAATGTATTACTTTTTTATGGATTTAAAAAGGCACAAAACGATAATTTATATTCTCATTTTATTAACAATATTTCTTTTAAAGTTTTCCGGCTATGATACCTTGTCTTGTCATGGTGTAAAGACAATCGAGCTATGATGATTATAAGAAATAGTTAATTTTTCTACCGACAAAAAAAAAAAAAGAAATGGTTAATTCGTAGTATGACACTGACTCACGCCTCTCAATTCGTCGCCATACGACAGATCAGAACTGCTCAGCTCACATTGAGGCTCCCAAGTCATAATTTGTTCTTTCTCTAATCTCAAATGGAATAAAAATTTGCTGGGAAACTTGTGGTTAAGAAAATAGGAGTGGATTTTCCTGAAATTTGGGGAAAAAGATATTTGTGGCCTAATTTTTACAGGTCAGTGATTCTGATCAGTCACGTGGACTTCCAATTGGCACGACCTCAACCACACGTGCTCACACTCAGCACTGAAGCACTGAATCCTCCTTGACGCTCGCTTATTAGGACCTTCTCGAAGAGTCGTAGTCATACAGATACAGGGTCCCGTTCAAGGTTCAACAGAGCTCTTACTGAGGCTGCCTCTCGCCCCAAAATCACCATTTCTTTTTTTTATTAAAACGGAAAAGCATGAGAAACACTCTATTAGAAGCCCTCAATGTCAGGGTCGTCGGTACCGGCGACAAGACCCTCGTCCTCGCCCACGGCTTTGGCACCGATCAATCAGCTTGGCAGCGCATCCTACCCTACTTTTCCCAGCACAACCGCGTCGTACTCTATGACCTTGTATGCGCCGGCAGTGTTAATCCTGATTACTTCGACTTCCGACGATACACCACTCTCGACGCCTATGTCGACGATCTACTTCACATCCTCGATGCCCTCCGCGTTGACAAATGCGCCTACGTCGGCCACTCTGTTTCTGCCATGATCGGAATCTTAGCCTCTATTCGCCGACCCGATCTCTTCACCAAACTCGTCCTTATCGGTGCCTCGCCTAGGTAATTAAGAATTAATTTGAGACAAAATAAATGCTAAATTCTATAAGCATGAAAATAATCCAGGTGGCTTTCTTATTTACTTGACAGGTTCTTAAATGACGCAGATTATCACGGTGGATTCGAGCAGGGAGAGATCGAGAAGGTATTCTCGGCAATGGAGGCTAATTACGAGGCATGGGTTAATGGGTTCGCGCCGTTAGCAGTGGGAGCGGACGTGCCGGATGCCGTTAGAGAATTCAGCCGGACCTTATTCAACATGAGGCCCGACATATCGCTTTTCGTGTGCCGAACCGTGTTCAATAGCGATTTGAGGGGGATTTTGGGTCTGGTGAAGGTGCCTTGTTGTATAATTCAGACGGCCAAAGATGTCTCAGTGCCGATATCGGTGGCGAATTACCTTAAGAACCATCTGGGTGGCCGGAATACGGTGGAGATATTAGACACTGAAGGACATTTACCGCACCTGAGTGCGCCGGGTTTACTAGCTTCCCGTCTACGGCGAGCTCTACAGCGGTGACTCGAATAGTGCGGTCCGCAATTCCGTGAATCAGATGTGCGTCAGACAACGAATAGGGCTAGCGATCTAACGATGTTGACACCTGGCTAATAGGTTGCGGTAAATGGCCCTTTGCTTTTTTTTTCAAGGTTTTAAGTTTGTTGCTACTTTGCTTTGAGATACTCACCCAACGCCATAGGCCCATAGTCCCATATACGATCTCTCTCTCGTAACTCGTAAGAAAGGATAAGATTCCGCACGTGGAAATCACGTGATGCAGGATTTTTGTCTTGTGGTATGATTTCCTTCTCTTTCCGACTCTCTTGTGATCGTACGTGTGGAGGGGGTTGTTACGGTGCTTTTATAATATACGGCGGGGATGTACTGTAGAACGTTGTGGAGCGCCCTTATTTATTCTGTGGCAATAGTCGTTGCACATGGATCATATCTCAGATTGCAAAAAGGAAAAAGAAAAAAATCTTGAGATGTGATACAACAAGATGCACAATGAATAATCGTTACGGCCTTACGGTCCATACCCATATAATGGTTGTGAGAACAAGAAACTCGATTATGATAATGGGCCGGTTGTTATTGACCTGTAGCCTGTAGCTTAAATAAAAGAGATCCCTTAGTGGACCACTGAATGGTGATAGTCCGTGATTCCTTGTGTATGCGGACGCTAGCCAGTAGCCAAGCATAAGTCCTAGCTCTAGTCATTTCCGAATTTACGATAATAAGACAACAGCTGTGGATAGATGAATCCAACAGAAACAACAGATCGCCTAGCCATGAATAGATGAATCCGATCCCCACTCTCTCACGCTTAAAACACGTGATTCTTTATAAGAATTGGGTTAATTTTGGCTGTTGGGGCCAATATCTTAACAGTTTTTAGGCTGGGAATGTTTTGAGCAGTTCATTTATTTATGCTCATGTTTTGGTTTTTAATAAAAATAAATTAATATATAATTATTAATTTATCCATTCTTATGATAATGTGGTATTTCCAGAAATTCTCTCAATAGTATAGGCTGTTAGCCCCCATTTAGAAATGATGCAAATAAGTGTGAATGTAAATATGTAGAGTGTAAAACGGTCTATATAAATTGTAAAATTGGATTAATTTTGCACTAACAAATTTATCTTTTTACCAAACAGACTTTTAGCTGTAATGAATGCGCATGTCTTTTTTTTATCAAAAGCCCACTTGAATTCAAATTTACTTCTTTTTCATTGATGTACTTTTACATCCTATTATCAATGTAAATATGCATTGTAAAATGTGTTTTCTATCATTTGTCAATGCATAGATGTAATATTGCCAAACACAAGCAAAAGTGAATCAGAGTGCAAATTTACCTTGAACCGGGATTTGCACTCCATTTGCTTCGTTTCCAAACGCAGCCTAATGGTACTATCATCAGGTGGAAATGGAATCACGTGTTAAAGAAGGTTCAAGTTAGAAAAACATCTAGTGCAGCAAAGAAACAACACTGATATAAGCTCATAAATCATAGTTCTTTTAAAACGATGGATGGTGTTTTCATCCCACCATCGTCTTAATTATAATGTGTCGGCCTGAATCCTGGTTTGTTATCTTGTTCTCTTTAGTGTGATGTTGTCTAAATCAAGCTAGAGTTGAGGTGGATGCACAACAAATAATTTTCTCAACTTGGATGAGCTGAGGTAGAAGGACGAGATAGTGCATCCAACAAAACCTGCAACCAAAGCGGTGTTAGGGGTCTTGAGAATAAAGTCCCAGGAGAAGGTATTCCAATGCTCAAGTCAGTAAGAAATGATGAGAATGATGAGGCCGAGTTGTTGAAGACAAACTTGTCCTGTCCAAAGAGGAAAGTATGAGAGCAAAAGGCTAGAGAGTGGAATGAATTAAAGAGATTAGAGATTGTACCTTAAGGGAAAATGCCTTTAAATAGTCGAGTGTTGTGATGCATTTAAACACATCCCTTGCAAAGCTTAAGGGAAGAGACTGCTCACCTGAGGCCATTGTATAGCTCCGTTTTCTCTGACAAAGATGTTTATCGGTCAGATAAATCACGCTTCCTCCGAGGTTCTCGCTTGTTGAATCGTCCCGACCACGGTGCATGATGTGCTAGTCCGCTAATGTGACTCAAAGAGGTCAGGTGGACCTAGGACATAGCAGCATCCACGTGGAACTTCGACCTGCTCACTTCGCCTACGACGGCCTTAATTATACGGTATCGGCCTGAATCCTGTTCTCTTTAATTCTATATCCATTATTAAATTATGTGCACTTAATTAAATTATTTAATTTCTTATCACTTTCATCCAAATTTTTTTCAGTTAATCGTCTTTGATTAAGCATGCAAAATATCCATGACCATGAGAATTTGGAAAAAATATTTTTATGGTCGATTCCAATCGATACAACCCTTCTCCTTTATCAAAACTTTGGACCAGAAGTGTAAGGCGAACTCAGACTCTATGAAAAAATTAGGTAAATTTAAAACTAAATTCCATCTCCACCTATATGATCCAAAACCAGTCCATACATTCAAAAAATAATAATTTGGAGTTCTAAATTGAAACTTTTTAGTTGATATTTGATAAAAGGAACCTGACGCAACCTATTGGCATGCATATCCAGTCCACTATTATGGTGCAGCATAATAGCACCATCCAGTCATCCACGTTCCATTTCCCTTTATTCAGAAAAGCAACTATGACACAAAACTGTAGTGGAACGGAATCAAGTACGCTTTTCCGTGGAAGAATTATAAATATTAATTGCAGCTAGTTCGTAGAATTATATGTATGGTTATACATGGCTAACAAATTCGGCACGGCTTTTAATTCAAGTTTGATCTATTACCTTTAAAAAAGAAAAATTAGAAAGTTAATTATTTATTAAATTTTACATATATAAATATAAAATATTATATATAATATCTAAGGCTTTTAAAATCAAATCGGACAACGAACCGATCAGTGTCTGGTTCTCAGGTCGAACGGTTCAACCGTTTGAACCGAATGGATGGTTTGTTCTGATCAAAAAAATTACAAAAACGACCAAACTGTTGAATAGTTTGAACAATTTGAATGTCCAAGTCAGCGGTTTGCTGACCAAATCAATGGTGTTTGGCAAAATAATAGTCAGGTCCGACCGTCTGATTCAGTCCGATTTTGAAAACCATGATAATATCTATTTATATGCATTATCATTGAACTTGATTTCTATCAGGCCAGATGGAGTCAAATTCACATTCAATATGATAAGTAAGTGTTTGGCATCAGAAAACGATGCTTATTTTTTGTTTGGAAACGGTGTTGCCACATAGGCTATTTTCTAGGAAAACACAGTAGGTTTTGTTTGGTACCAGTGATGTAGAATTGTTTTCATCATTGGTTTATATTATCCAACGTCCAAGATTATGCCACATTAATACCACATCATTGCACTACTAGAAGCAATGGGTTGTTTTATATAAAGCATTTTGATACATTTCTAGTGTTTTATATTCATCATATTAAACAAAATTAAGTGGGAAAATAAAAGTTACTTTTATTAATAACCAAAATAAAAACAGAAAATGCAAAATAATTTTTCCATCCAAATGGTGTGCAAGTGGTTCAACTATCCATATAAAATGGATCAACACATGATGTTATAATTAAATAATAAAATACATAAAGCTCTAGAAAATATAGAATTTGTAGATAAATTTGGACACATTTTATAATAAGGTAAAATACAAAAACCTCCCCTCAAGTTTCTGACAATAATAAAAATCTCCCCTCTAGTTTACCTTTAGCAAAATCTTCACTTCTACTTTCAAAAAAAGCGACAAAAACCTCCCTTCTTTTAATGAACCTGACAGAAACCATGGAAAACTACATTTTTATCCTCATACCGCACCCAAGCAATTTGCAAAATATCAATTTTACCCTTACTTGAAAAACTCAATATCCTCTCTTGAGAAAAACAGTCGAACCCTAACCCTAACTGTTGCAAGCAAACAGTGCTTGGAATATTCCACTTCCTAGAATATTTCGGCGACGATTCTTCACCGAACGACGGATGGTTTCATCTTGTTGGCCGATTTCTTCACCAGAGTTCGTTTTCTTCACGAGAGTTCGTTTTCTTCACCAGATGACATCTGTGGCTTTCCAAACATTTTGGCGATTATTCTTCATCGGACGACATATGTGTTTTTCCATAACAGGATCATTTTTTGAATCTGTGCAGCATGTGTTTGTTCAGGTGTTCCATAATAGGTTTTGTACATGGATTTCCGTTTGTTCTTGCAAATAATAGGGTCAGGTCCAACTACTTTACCATATGATGTAAATGAGATATGTCGGGTGTTGAGTGAAAATCTAGGGATTTCTGCTCACAGGTTCTTTCTCTGGGCCCGAGAGTTGTCGGGTTTTAGTCATAGCAGGGAAAACTACCATATTCTAGTAGATATCCTTGGTTGCAACAAAGCAATCCCCTCTGATATATGGGATTTTCTTTCTGAGATGAAAGATAGTGGGGATTATGAAATCGGGCATTTTGGTTAATAAAAATTAATTCTATGGCCAACAGAGCACAATCTTTGCTTAGTATTCAAAATCAGCTATAATGGATTTTCATTCCCAAGGGAGGAAATGGGAATGACCCATTCCGATTCTAAACCCCATTTTTAGGAACCAAACGGATCTTTAATTCTTAACTTTCAATTACATTTGGATTGAAGACCTCATTGCTTATATGAATTCTTAGGATCCGAACATGGAGTTAATTGAGCAGCTGGCATATTTTTTTAATAAATAAAAATAATTTATTAAAGAGAAAAAGAGAACGATTACAATAGAGTCCTAGAGGGAGGGACTTGGAAGTCTGGAACATAAGCTACATAAAACAACTCAAAATAAGGACTGAAATCAACGAATAAACGTGAGACGAGCTTATTAGAACAACGCAAAAACAAAGGTGTTGAAAAAACTGAAAAACAACGATAACAATTCTGTTTCTCTGAGCAATTAATCTAGCTCCCAAACACAAAGCCCTTGCATCTGGGCACACCAAACTCAGGAGAAACAACCTCTATCCAAGTGTGAAGCTATCTCAACACCTGACCTCTCCCTCCCCTACCTCTACCTCTAGTTTCCTTTGCCTTTTTCAAATCCACCCTCTTTGAGACGTCCACTTAAAAATCTATCGATATCCTCAGTTTTCTGCTACTAGGGGGTCCCAAATTTGAGCTCATCGTCCACTACTTCTGCAAGAGAAAAAATTGCTCTCTAACTCCTCTTCTCAAAGACTGTTCTCTCTCTCTCTCTCTCTCTCTCTCTCTCTCTCAAGATTGAGCTAATTAAGAAACCAAGAATAGAGATATGGAAGATAGGATTGTGTGATCGAACCAAGAACAGAGATGAAACGATTTTACATTTTCCCCATGCTGCTGACCGAGAAATCCTTCTTCTAGGTTCACTATTTTCTTCCTGGTTCGTTCTCCAGTTGCCTTCTTCCTTTGTTCATTCCTCACCCATTCTTCAAGATAATAAGAAAATGCAAAGGGTATTTTAGTAATCAGATGTACACAATAACTTGTACAGGGTTAAAATGGGTATTTAAAAAAATAGCATCGATTTAACGATTTTCCTTAGGTTTATTAACGGAATGGAGGTTTTTGTCGCTTTTTTTTTTAAGTAAAAGGGAGGATTTTGCTGAAGGTAAACTAGAGGGGAGGTTTTCATTATTGTTAGAAACTTGAGGGTGGCTTTTGTATTTTACCCTTTATAATATTATATATTTATCATATAAAAACAAGTGTGATAAATGATAATTATTTTCATTAATGATGAAATTGGGATAAAAATCGGAAAAAAAAAGAGCATTAACGTTTAATACATGACCCCACTACCCATGTCAAATGGTTCAATGATTTAATTAGCTAGATCACCGTAGGCAAATGTTTTGGTCATAAATAAACCTACAATTTTGAATTGGGTGGTGAATTGAATAATTTAATCAACTGATTTGATCATAATATTTAAAAGCAATATTCAAACAATATATTGGAATTGCATTTCCTCCCAATAAATAAGTAACTTTTATTATGTCATAAATTAAATAATGAAAAATAAAATATATAATTCTTATAAATTTTATAGAAAATTTTGAACATGCATTGATATTATATATTCTTCATATTAAACAAAACTATGTTTTAAAAAATGAGAATTATTGTTAGTAAAAATAGAAATGGCTAAAAATACAAAGAAAATGAATTAATGTGTTAACCATAGGCCATTGACCTAGTTAAATAGGTTAGTGGTTCAACTACTAAGGTCATTTTGTTGTTGACTAAGTCAATGATTTTTTATTTTATTTTTACAATAAACTGAATTAGGTTAAAACATACTCAGAAAAATATGTTCATGTGACAAACTAATAAATCCAATTCTATGGTTTAAGTACATGTTGAAAACATTGATAGAAATCATATGAACATTTGAAGTTAAGTCTTTGAGTTGAAAGACATCATATCCACTACTATACAATGCTTTTATCACTTTTCTTTGTTTCATGGATCCTAATAAAAACACTAAAATATTATTATCATCATCATCATTTGAAACTGCCACGTACAACGTGCATGCACATTTGCTAGTAGAAAATAATAGACAATTAGATGCAGGTCTTGAACCAATCCACCAACCCAACTTACCTCACCCTCAAATGTGAAGAGGGTAGGGTTGGGGAGGGTTTTGCATTTTCATGTTTGGGAAGGTTTGAGTTCTGAAAATTCAACTTGCTATGGATGTTTGGGTGGATATGGGTTGGGAGGTCTAAGGCAACAAGTAGGGTCTAAAATTTACAAAAACCTCCCCAAACCTTTAACCAGGTGTAAAATTTATACCTAGTTCAAATTTGTTTTTCGATCATTTGTAATTTGGTTTTACATTTCTATCCAAGGTTTTAAAAATTGGATTTAACACAACGATTTTGGGGACCGGTTCTTTAGTCGAATAGTCTGATCATGTGGTTTGAATGGACGGTTCGTTTTGATTTAAAAAAATAAAAAATGACAAAAACCGTTGTCACTCAACAATATAGGAAAATAGTAGCGGATTTCTTAGCGGCACAAGTGAAAACATCGTTATATAACCCCTTTTAAGCAGCGATTCTCCAAACTGCAAGAGCGTGTATCGGTTACAGCGTCAGTTTTCTATTTGTCAGTGTAGACATATTTTTTATGTAATACATTAAGATTTAATGAAAGAGAACTCGTGAAAAAGGTTCATCTCCTGCACTCAAAAATCCTTTCATTTTCTTAAAACCACTAATCTCTCCTCTCCCGCGCGAGAAGTCTTCGAATGCAGCCAAACAATCGAACAAACAAGTAATGTTCTTTCTTCTTCTTCTTCTAGCATAGTTACTTGTCATGTCTTGCAGGAATTTGAAAATGCTGCTAAAAGACCTCTTTCCCTCTCTGAGTTGCGAGCTGTTATTCCCTTGGAGCTAGTCTCTCTCTAAAGATGCCGAGGCATTCCATACCTCCCTCCTGTAGTAATATTTTTCTATCGTTTAATCTAGAGAACATGCATTTCGTCCTGCAAGTTTCAAGATCTTGGCCATATTAACTTCTTAGATAAAGCCTCTCACTGTATTGTTCTATGGATTTCAGGGAAAGAAAAAGGAAGGAAATGCCACGAAATACATCACCCAGTCCAAAGCTATTAAATACTTGCAAGTTACTCTACCTGTTTTCAAGTATCTCATTTGTTAATTTTTTTCATAGTTAAGGGGTGTCTTTGTAACCAGAGGGTTTAGGGTTTTAGGGGTTTAAGCATTTTGGGTTTTTTGTAGCAATTTTCTCGATTTTTAGCACTACAGTGAAGGGTTGTTATACATTTATTCTGTAAAATTTAAAACTTCTAAGCTTTCTTAAGAAATTTCTTTGCTTTTTCACATGATTATTTGTCATTGCTGGTCCGTCTAGCCATTGCCGGAGATGCTGATCCGCTGATATTCTCTCTTTTTTTTTATTTCAGTTGTTGTAAGTTTTTGTTCATTCATGTCGGAGGTGATGAGCCAAACCCAAAGTCGCTTAGAGGAGATTTCGAGTACTCATAAAAGTCATACACCAGGTATCTACAATCCTGTTTTGCCATTCTATTCAATATTTTTGCTGATCCTTTGCTACATTTTCAGCTCTAAAGCTAAAGCATCTCTCCCAGCTTCAATTTGCGATTTTCGTTTTCACCATTTAGCTCTTTTAAAGCCCTAACTTGCATCAGATCATTCTTGAATGGGACGGTATGTACTCGCCTGTAGATGGAAGTCCCTTCTAAATCTAAAGCATCTCCCATTTGCATCTACCTACCTCTCCAAAGGATCACTATCCATGTTTGCAACTTCAACATAGCTTCAAAGGTGGATTTCCATATCCTGGTATCTTATAATTTTGGTGTTTTTACTTTGAATTCTTGGAAGTTCTTTATTTTTGTTTCTAAAGTTTGTGATTGTTTGGTAATTTGTGATTAATTAAGTAGTAGATAGTTGGTCAGTTCCAAGAACTAGTTGGATGCCTAATTTATTTGAATTGTTAAGTCTGTAGCTAGGTGTTGGATTACAAGATTTATTTTTTTACTAATTTTGTTTCAATTTAGCACATTGATTGAATGAGACATTTTTTATTTTTTCATGGAAGGTTTAATGCTAAAAATTATCTAGCTTTTTCTTGAGATTGAAATGTGTGCTCTATTGTAATTAATAGATTCACAACTTTTTTTTGGGAAAACTATTCTTTTCCTATTTTTGGTTATGTAATTTAAATATATTTGTTTTGAAGAAACCATGAGAAATAGCCAGATGGGATTTTGTTAATTGAGATAGCTTAGACTTATCATTTTATACTGCTTGAGATTGTCAACTAAGGAATGTTATCACTGAAATGGATTCCCAGCTCTTTTTTTTTGGGGGGGGGGTTTCAACTCCTATACAGCATAACTTTTATATATATATATATATATATTTTCCTTTTTTTGTCTCAGTTAGGAGCCATAAAAGTGACCGTATGAAGTGTAGGATCTTCCTGAAATAGAACACAGTAATATAAGACCTAAAATAGAACAAAGTAAAACCCAGAACAAAATTTAACCGGAATTTGCATTCTTTTCATTTGCACTCCCATGCATTTGTACTAATGCAAATAAAATCGCACTGCAACCAAACACAACCTTAGGAGATGTGTTGGGTTATAAGTGGCATCGGTTAATATTCTATTATATTACTAGGGAAGGTTGAGAAATACCAGTCTCCATTTTGTAATATGTGTTGTTGGAGCTGCTCCTTGCAAACGAATGGATGAGTTCAGGGGTACATCTATCAACACCTTGCAAAGGAACTTTGAAGAAATCCTTTATTCCCTTGCCAATATGCCTTAGTCTAGGGGCCCTCAAAATCTTCATTAACTATGGGGCTCTCAGACTAGGTCCATCTAGAAATATAGGGATCATTTTCATTAATTGTGAAAGCTCAAAAAACAAGATATTGTTTTTGTGCCTATGCAAAGGGTTTTATGAATTATTTACCAACGTATTCATTTCTTTATAAGATGAGTGTCTTATGCTTGGATTATGGACCAATTTCATCCTACACTACAAGGAAGTGAGGCTAAAGTGGCAGATGCCTTTGCTGGTCCAGCTGGAATGCAATTAACTTTGGCATGAGGTAGTACGTAATTGGTAGTTGTTTTGTGAATTCTTTTTGGAGTATGTGTTTTCCATGTTTTAGTGATTAGTTTTTCTATAAGATTAAGTTTTTTATTTCAATTCAAGTGATCTAGGCTTTTCTTTTGAAGTTTTAAAGCTACTTGAGTAAAACTAAAACTAAAGTATGACATGCAACGTATCGAAAAGAAAGAGTAGGAGCATATGCTTTTTTTTTGCTAGGAAATTCAAGATTTACACCTATGATTGATGCCTCATTGGGTTCTTCAATACTCAACAAAATGTTCTCTTTGCTAAATCCAATTTTGATCTGCTTGACAAAAAGTCAATTTGTTTCAAGGATTTAAGTGCAATACTTGATTTTTTTAGATTTGATTGATCAATTGTTAGATTAATAGTGGTTGAGTAGGAATTAGTGAGTGTAGTGCAGGTGTCAATTTGGTCCCTACACTTCCCTACACTCCTTAACAAAGTTACATGGCACCTCTTATAGGTATAGACATTCATTGGAATGGTTTGCATAAATGTGACCCCATATTCAGTATTTTTTTTTTAAGAATTAAACTTCCTATGTTTAACTATCGTCTATTGTAGCAGGTAAAGACATTATTTGCAAATTTGTTGGTAGACTCAGTTTTGAAAATTAGTGCCAAGAATTCAAAAGTTGATTGTCCCCAATGAAATGCTTCTGTTGATGCCCATCAAGATCTCCATGAGGATTATATTTCTAAAGAGGATTTGTTAGGGTTTGGAGCCATTTGTTACAACCCAACAGATTTCCTTGATGCAAGACTAGGTTATAGTTCCTTTCCCTATTTGGATGATTTATTGTTTTAGAATTTACATTTTACTTTCTCAAAGTATTTATTACTATAAACTTCTTGGAACACAAAAACTTTTTATTATGGAGGTGGTAATGAATTGAAACTTGTTAGAAGCACTTTATCAAGCATGATTTGATATGTTCATACTCTCTTTTCCCTTTAACCCATTTTAGCTTTGCATCTTGATCAACTTTTGTGATGCAAAGCAGTCAAGTTGTATTTAGTTGTCTACGTCTCCAAGTACATGCATGTCTAACCTAGAGGATTTCCTAAGAATCTCTATTGGAGTGATTTTTTTTAGACCATTTTAAGTACCATATCTAGGCTTTGTAAGTTGAGTAAATCCCTCCACTTTACCCATATGTTGATCGTATATAGTTTAGCGTCTTTGGTTTGGCTACAAATCTTCATCTGCATTTAATGTTTTACTGTAGACATGGAATTTCATCCTCATTTAATATGGGATGAAACTCCAAGTAAACTAATAACTTAAGTAATTAGACCCCACTAGTTAATCATATTGGTTTAACCAACACTGTGGCCTGGCTTCTTGATTTGACCTCCCCAAGTTATGGTAAGCCTAAAGAGATGCGACAAAACAAATAATTCAAAAAGTGTAATCACTAAAATCATCATGGTCCATATATATCTATTTCTGAAATAATATTTCTTTTCCTCTTTGGTGCATTCTCCTTGAAATTTATTGAATCATCTCTTAATTTGTTTGATAAAAAGCCCCCCATATAACACAAAAAGTCAAATTTTCCAAATTCACCCAATAAATTTCTGATAATTTAAAAAGATTATATATTGATGGGATATAGCAAATAGCACAACCATGTTTAGATATATCAAAATTTCAATTAGGGAAAACTTTTTATACTTCATGTCTTCATAAAAATCAATTGTAAATAATTTTATGTAGTTTGTAGAAAACACTTCCTACTACCTTTCCAGCAAAAGCAGTCCCTATGTTAAGATACCAACTTACACTATTAATCTCCCAACATCCACCACGGATAGAAATTGTATCAAATCTGATGTCCCAACACAAAGTTGAGTTTAACCACTAGTTACAGTGGACACAATGACTTTGGGTACTCAAACAGGAAGGGATCTTAGTGCAAGGGATATTAGAGATGTTCCGCAGCTACCTACAAGGTGCAACTTGGCTGAGCTTGGATTCAGAGTTGATTAAATTTTCAATAGTTTTGAGCCCAAAAAGTTTGGGGAATCTTGGTCCTTTTGGAGTGGGAGGGGTCATAAGGTCTGAAGGAGGGATTGTGAAGGCAATTTTTTTGGGTCCAATTGATTTAAGAGAATTTAATTATAGATGGTGACTCCAAGGTTATAATCAATTAGTTAAAGAATAGAAATATTTTTTTGGATTTTTTGTAAATGAGTTGAAGAAATTTGATGGTTGACAAGGAACATGCAAGTGATTATCCGTTGGGTTCAAAGGTTGGATAACTTTTAGGCTGATATAGCTTATCCAAATACGGGGTAAATAGAAATCATTTATTTAGATGAACTTGTAAACAGCATCATGGGGAGAGATTGTATTGTTACGTTCTCACTCTTGTATTAATATTGTATAATTTTGTTCATATTAATGAAATTGTTTTTTTGGATGCTGATAGAAAAAAGGTTGTTAGCCTGATGTAGTTGAAATTCTTGAAATCAGAACCCAACTTGCACCCTACCATTTATAGATCAAACATAAGTTCTTGGATTCCAATATTAAAAAAAAAAGTGAATTGAAACACTTAAATGTAGTATGGGTTATGGCGGTAACCACAAGGTTTTATGGAATATGATTGCATTTTCTACTTGTTTTGGTATTTGGAGGGAGAAAAATACATATTAGCTTTTAAATTATTTTAATGTAAAACTTGATGTACATCATGTGCAATCTTATTTTTATATTCTTTATTTTTCTTTCTAGGCTGAACCATAATGAAAGGAGCGACAATAGGCATGGCATGGTTGAAGATATTTTGAAATCAACATTTTACATTTTTATTGTGATTTATTTATATATGTAACAACAGATTGTTACTTTTTAGTAATATAGATGTCTGAAGTTTACATTTTGATGTATTTTAATAAATAAATTAACTTTTATATAATTTTCTTTGCAATTTTGATGTGATGTGAAAATTGAATGGTATGTGTCTTATGTGAACATATTATAGGTTGTACAATCAAAATCCTCATAAATTTTAATTAAAACTGATTTAATTGATTATCACTTTTATAATACTAATTAATTGATTATAAATTTTTCCAATATCATATATTTATAGAATCATAGTCGAGCCAAGTAGAAACCACATCATCTTGATTCCTATTGATAAATAAATTTAGAGAGGTTTCATAAAAATCCACTTCAGCATTTGAATTGAGCACTGATTGCAACAGGAACCCTCTTGAGAATGACATTACGACACGACAGTGAAAATAAATAAAGTATGGTTATCGTATTTATGAAGCATTATATTGTTCAACGCCATTCCCATTTAGGATGGCAATTTCTACACTACCCGTTGGGTATTTGCCCTTACCTTCTTCGATGGGTGGGTTTTTTTGAAGAATGGATTTTGGAATTTTACACTATTAGGCTAAACTTGACCTTCACCGACCCGTATATTGTTGAAAAGCATATAAACTTTATGTAATAGGTATTGAATTTAATAATATTTTAAATTTTATATAAAAGATAATTGATAGTTTATGTGTTTTCTACATGTCTTAATCAAATAATTAGAAATTTTATTGTTTATTTGTATTATTTTACTTATTTATTATTTATATATGACAAGAAATAATAAGAAATTAGATATAGGTTCTAAATACAACTCATCCCTACCTTTGAATGCAAGGAAGGTGGGGTTGGAGAGGTTGTTGCATTTTTATGTACGGGAAGGGCTTAAAAGATTTAAGGAGATGGAAAGAATCTAAAATTTACAAAACCCTCCCTGAACCAGCCCTGTTTCTATTCCTACTTGATTCAGGACCGGATCTAATAGGTACAGCAAAATTAGCACATTAAAGAAGCACTTGATAAATATTTTGACAATTGTCAAAAATGGGTATTAATATTTTTCAAGGATAGGGTGGGGGTATTTTAAGGAACAAGTGTAAAAAAAAAAAAATCTAAATACTCATGTAACATGTTTACAATGCTGTGTCTACCTAGGGGCGGAACCATGGGGTGGCGGAGGGGAGCCATGACCCCCTATGTATTCAAAATTCCCATAAATCTATTTAAATTCTATGTATATTTTAGCCCCTTACCCATGTTTCCGAACTGACCCCATTCTCCCATATCTAAATTGGGTAATAGCATATAAGGGCAACTTTTGGGGTTTAATATCAGTAAAAGTAATATTTATTTTAAAAAAATCAAAAATAGGTCAACTTTTTAAAAATAATATCAATAAAGGGCAAAAACTGTTCATCATCTTCTTCTTGCCATTTGTTCACAGCACTGCCGTCCGCCTCCGCCCATCTCCGCCTCTGCCTCTGACAACGTGGCCGGAGGTGGGCGGAGGTGGTAGCGTTGGGCAGAGAAATGACCACCAGCGCCGCTACCGCCACCTCCAGCAATGTTGCTGGAGGCGGAGGCGGCGGTGGCAAGTGGTGGCGGGCGGCAACAGGCGATGCTATGAACAAATGGCAAGAAGAAGATGATGAATAATGTTTTTGCCCTTTATTGATATTATTTTTAAAAAATTAACCTATTTTTAAAATTTTTTAAAAATATTATTTTTATTGATATTAAACCCGAAAAATTACCCTTATATGCTATTATCCCTATCTAAATTGATAAACATTACTCAGCATTCCACTCGCCTTTGCTTTTTAGTTTTTATTCAAGGTTCAACCAACAACAATATTCCACTCGCTAGGTTTGAAAACACGTGCCAATTATAACATCTCGCTTCCACAACTGTCATCCACTTCTTCTCGTGGTCCCATTTGGAGCCGTGCTTCTTTGTTAGAAATTAATTAATGCGCAATTTTCATCCATTCATTTCTGGATAAACTTATAAAAGAATGCAGACATATAATTTCTTATTCCACTTTTCTTTCTCTTATTGTATATCTTGTGTGGGACCCGATCGATTCACATGGCGTAAGCGTTGACGATAAGAAGCGGAGCAAATATGTCACCAACATGCAATTCACCTCCCTCGGCCTTACTCAGAAATATCCATTCGAATTTGGATTTGATCCTTACACCAACCTCACAGCATATCATATATGCGGCCGGGATGTGCTGTGAGGTTGGGTGTGAGTTGCATTTGTGAGGAACAGATGCGGATTCAAATTGGCAAAGTCAACTTTGCTGGTTTGTATGGATAAGAGACAAAGACAATAACTCAGAAGAAGGGGAAGGGAGCGCGTTTCGCCGCCCTCAGTTTCTAGTTGGTTCGTTGGTTGCTGACCGCCCGATCCAATGCGATAATATTGTCGAAGAAGACTCCACCTAATCAGATTTCTTCACCACGCTCATGGATTTTGAGATTCAGATGTTCAAAAAAGCAATACTTTTTGAGTTCGTCAATCTTATTGACTTTCTTGCCAGTTGCCACCACCAACTTATGCCCCAGGTGACGGAAATGCCACTTACCCTAAAATCCCTTTCAATAGATTAGAACACTGAACGTTCAGGTACTCAAGGGTATATATGTCTTTGAATTCTATTTCTTCTTTCTTACATGCGTCCGTCCGTCCTTGTGCTTTCCTCAATCGAGAGTCTATTAGTCCACTATAAATTTGAGGCGTTTGTGCTGTCACATATCCGAAATCAGATTACACCTACAGCAAGAAAGAAGAAGAGAAGAAGAAGAAGAAGAAGAAGAAGAAGAAGAAGAAGAAGAGCGGCATGGAAGGCTTAATTCCATATATTTTTCATGCGATCAAGAACAAGAAAGCCCACAAAGATTATCGTTCCCTCTCCGATGGATCGAGTCGAAGTTACCGTCCCTTAACGGGTGGTATGGGTTCATTCGAGGGCTCCTCTCACCGCCGAACCAGGTCTGAGTTCCAGCCGCCCACTACCTACGATTTCCAGCTGGAGCAGTCATCTTCTGGTCCTGATCAGTTCCGTCATTCCCGAAGTCTCAAGACTGATTCAGTTTTCTCTCCACCAACGGTGAAGGACTCTAAACAGACAAGCTATTATCCTTACCAAGCCTCCACCAAGGAGACTAAGCTCTCTCACATACGGAGATGAAAGAAATAAAAAGGAAAAATAATAATAATGATAATAAAGAAAGTGAAGGAATATGAATTTACAAAGCGCAAAGATGAACGATTGAAGCAATCAGTTCATAAAAGCTACTTGACTAAGCTGTGGATATGTTGTAACAAGTTGTAATTATCTCCGTCTTTATTTGTTTTTATTATTGTTTCTTTCAAGCCAAATGATTATTTGTTATTCTTTTGTTCACTAAGAAATGGTGGAGTATCAGTAGTAATGGGGTGGTTGTATCTGAATTATGATATAATTGGTGATTTTCTCGTGTCTGCAAGCAAATGCTTGGTTTGTTTTGATTTATTTTAGTGATGTGATGTGCTTGTTCATGAAGAGATACTGTCTTAAAGGGTATTTCAAAGCCTAATTGAAGTTAAATCCCTTATCGTAATCGATCTGTTGATGTAGTATTATGTCAACAAATTTTATAAAGTTTCTAATTAAAGACCGTATTCTGATGAAATAATTGAAATGAAAGTCTGCTCTCTGTAATTAAGAATTTTGATGTGGCTTGTGAGTTGTGAGCATGATCAAGAACTGGATTTTCAAGTAGTAGAGCGCCAATGTTGGCCTGTAAGAACTGAAGTCGCTTCGAGGTGATCAAAACCTCCAATGCTTGGAGCCAACTGCCACTTTTGCTCAATCATGCAAGTTTCAGACCTTCAAATCGCTTGATTTCTTTACTGGAAGACCGCGGTTATCTCAGCAAGTGAGACTTCTAATAAGAATGAGGACTCTGCTTAGCCATGAACTGATGATCGCCCAATCCGCCTTGCAGCGTCAATAGTGGTTCAAATTTTGGAAAAAGGATTGCAAGTGGTGGCTGCATATTTCCCTGTTCATTAATTGGTAGGTCGTTTCAGATTTTCAGTCCATCCGCAAGAAATTCCTTTTCGTCGCCGATCGAATGCCAAAGATATCGCGAGATGCATTGATGGCGGAAATGAAGAAAGGGTCCTGCTTTAACTTTACGAAGTACAATGAAGCAACCATGGCATCAAATACAACTTTTTTTTACTTTTTACTTTTTAATACACAAGGATGTGCCACTGGTTATCATCGAATCAGATGCGAAGGTGATATTACAAAAGATTTTCTTTCCTGGTTTAACAGGGGTAACCACCCTCCAACCCCCTAAACCCCCATTTGGGATCTGCTCCGAACCAAACCCCGTTCAAATATGATCTGACTGAAATCTAACCGCGTAAAACTGAGACCCACTGTAGTGTCGTCGGATCATGTCAAGAAGACTATTGGAACGGATTTGGTTGGGGGCAGATCCAAACTCCATCCCATGTGAAGGTGGGAGTTGATTCGTGGATTAGGTTTGGGTCTCTCTGAAAGCCTAAACTCAAAAGTGTAAAATGCTAAATCGAATCAACCTTTATTGCACCCCTATTGATCTCAGGTCTCCACTACAATTGACCGGAGACTTTACCTACAGATTAGCTATCACCTTCGGTAGTTCAAGAGATTAAGGCAGATTCCGAGTTCCACCGAGAGGAATGGTGGTAGAGGACATCAAGGCCCAACCCAAGCTCAGCCGATCTTTTTTTTTTTATTTTTTTTTGAGGCCCCAAGATACTGAGCCCGATCTGATTTTGCACAATCTAAAACCGATATTGTATATGATATTCACAATTTCACATTCATGAAGATGTATATACCATGTATTTATGATATCCACCTTAAAAATATCATATTGTATATACTATCATATCCATCTTAAAAATACATTTAGTTATTTACAATATACGTAAAAAATCTATAAATGCATACATATTGTATATTTTGGGCTGGTTTGATGTATTTTTTTGGGAAAATTTTCTGGTAGTTCTGACATGCAAAAGACGAAGTCCGAAGTATATTTGGCAGATGTATGTCTTTCCGCATGAGAATAAAATGTAAAAGACGCGGAAAGCTTCATTTGAAGCTTCCCAAATACAGTCCTAAATGAACTATTCATATCTTTTTGGCGTTTCATCTTTTAGTGGTTAGATTTTCTGCAAGATAAATGGGGATAGACCAAAAATTGATATTCCCAACTTGTAAACAACCAAAAGACCACGCGAAAAGACACACTAAATGGGCCCTGATATCTAAAGGCATCTTTTTCTGATTATTATATGTATGTGTTGCATATACATATGACATTTTTTTTTGTAAGGACGTATGACATCCTTTCAAACCCAACTAATCCATCTAAGCCCGCCCATAAACTCTAGCATGAGATCGGTTTAGTTCAGATTCGGACCCGTCACTACTCACTTGTCTGGCTTTACTAACCTTTAGGGTTAAGGAGAACTCCTGGGTTGTAGGCCCGAATCCGGTCCAATCCGCCTAAGTTGTACTCTACGTCTATCCCCTGTTATCGGCGCTCGCCCTCGGGCCTCAGTCTGTTCTTCCCGCCGTGAGGCGGAAGCCGAGTTTCATAAACCCTTTTTTCGGTTGGGAGAAAAAAAAGAAAAACAATATTATAATACAGTGAATCGGAGAAAAGCTGTTAGTCCAGGACTCCAGAACGAATGCTACATAGTGAAAACTGGACAGCAAAGTGGGATGAATAATGGCTCTGCGGTCCGTTTTCGACGAGGGAGTTATCAGAAGCGAGTTCGAGAAGGCGGGAATCGACACTCAGTTTATACCCCTCATTTGGAAGTACAAGCCTCCGTTGCGACGATGATATATTGCATCCTACCTCTCTCAATCCTGTATGATAAATAATTTTCTCTTGTTTGTTTCGCTTCGCAGATACGTTCTTCAGAACCCTAATCGTGAATTGGATGAAGTTCCTTCGTTGCCGTCAGCTGCTTACCCTTTGCTTCGTTCAAAGTTCAGATCTTCCACTTCGACCATCAATTCTATCGTCGAATCCAATGATAACGTTACCACTAAGCTTCTTATAAGGCTACAGGTATTCCTTATTTCCTTTCCTTTTTAACGCACCTTCTCCAGAATCGTTTCTTCTTCTGTTTTCTTTTCCACCAAACTGATTCGTCTCTTATGCATAATTCTGAAGGGACCGTTAATTTTTATTCTGCATGTGTAGCTGAACATCAAATGGAGAGACAGTTTCTAGTTGAACTGAATCCTGCTTCCCCCTTCCCCCGCTCGTGTGTGTGTTGTTGCTAATGGTTTGAATATCTAGTGTTTTTTATTTCATTGCTGTAGAATGAAATCATAATTCCTGGCCATGAAGAACCATACGCATTCCTTATCTGGGAATGACTGGTGAATGAAGTGGAAAATTTCAGCTACTTCACACTAATTCCACACGCACAAAAAGGGGTGGGGGGGGGTGAATGAATGTATGAATGCTTTTATTTGCATCTCTTTCTTACTACGAGATTTACGTAATGAGAATCAAATCGATCAAAACAGGTTACATAAAATAGTCAAATAGTTTGATTGGTAGGATTGCACGCAATTTTCTTGAAGTGATCGAGTAATTGTTTCAATGAAACCATGACCCATGCAGTGTGGCCCTGATCGCATGAAATAACTGCACGAGACACGAGATATGATACATTCGCCAACCCCAGTTCATACATGACTGATGGATAATGTTATTGTTTTTGCTATGATTACCAGAATGGAGCTTTTATTGAAGCTGTTATTATGAGATATGACACACGTTTAGGAACATATGGTGGAAAACCCCGTCCTGGAGGCTTAAGATCAACTCTGTGCATATCATCCCAGGTATTATCTCTTTCCACATGATAACTTTTCACCAGGGTTGGAAAGCATTACTTAGTCAATTGGGACGGTCTTAAAGCTCACTTTACATTTTCACTATTTAATTGCAAATCAAGTCTACACGAAGAATTCCCAAGTTCACTGTAACATTACTTGAACATATGTACTTCTGTTTTACTTTTGTACTTGTGAGTTATAGACTTCAAATTGTAGTTTGTTCTAGATTTGGTAGGTTCTCTTTCTTTTTCTCCTCTACTTATGTAGGTGGGTTGCAAAATGGGTTGTAAGTTCTGTGCAACTGGTAGCATGGGGTTGAAAAGCAATCTTTCATCAGGAGAAATTGTGGAACAATTGGTCCATGCCTGTCGTTTGTCACATATACGCAATGTTGTTTTCATGGTATGTGCTTTTTTTCATCCTTAAATGTCTTATTGTTTATTTCTTTCTTTTCAAGGTTTTGTTATGTAAATTCTAAACTGGTTTTCATATTCTTTAACAGACCCTTAAATATTAGACACTTTATTTGATTTCAAGAAATTTGCTCTATATTTGGAACAAGAGGCACTACTTTTGAATTTACTGAAAAGTTAAGAGCCATAACAAAAACATGTATTTTGCAGTAGTTTACTTTTTACCAGAAGAATAGGCCAGATATTGAAAATTAAGCAATAGATGCACTGATTAGGAAAGCTATCCTTCTTGTGAGTTGTGACTGAACTTTTCAGCAGTTACTCAGCAATGACTGTTACTTCTTCACACAGAAGTTACCATTTTGGTTTACCTATCTGAAAGGGCAAAAGATTATTTGGATCACTTTGATGTCATGTCATACCTATGAAAGTCACTCGTATTAGGAAAGACATGGATTTGCATACAGTGGAAATGTGCATATATCTTCTGCTGCAATGGCAGGAGGTATGAAATCTATTCTTTTTTTTTTTTTTATGTTCCCAGTGTTACCAATGCAGTGAAGCAATATTAATTGTTTTGGGCCTTTTGGCCTCTCGTCAATACGATGACTAGTTGGTGCCAGCCAGTCGATAAAAAAAATATATGTTCTAAATTTAAGATAATGATACAGTCTCATAAATAAGCTAATATAGACTGCAATTATGCAAGAGAAGAGTGATATTGAACATTTAGTTTACAGTTTGTTTTGCAAATAAAAAGAAGAAGAAGAAAAAAAAGCTAGGATGGATAGGCTAGGATAGGAAATAACAACCTTTGTTTTGCAAAGAGGGGATGCGACCTTGACTATTCAATGTGCCCTTTCTTTGTGGCAACTCCATACCAACAGATCACTGTTGGAAGTACACTTAAAATAACTCCTCCACTGCCTTCTTTTATTTTATGCTTTTTTTCCAATAATTCTTTAAAACAATTTTGTGCTCAACTAGTCAATGCTTAGTTGTCCTAGGTGACCACATTATATGAATATTGATTGACTAGCTAGTGATGCAGTTGGCTTGGCCTGTGCAAGATAATCCTTGGTCATAATTTGTCTTACATTGAAAAGCCTTATCTTTTCTTGTTCTTTTGCTTTAGTTGGACTACAAAGGTTATGAATGCTGATGTACCAAATTTCTAATTCTGGTTTTCTCGAAGGGCATTATCATCTCCATAGGTATCTTAGTGGTGTGAATTCCAATGAGGCTTTGGGTTTAAGCATGGTATAAGTTAAATTTAAGAAGCAAAGGTGTTACTGTTTGAGACTTTTGCTCCCCTACTTCTATGATTCTATTTTCCCTCTCATGGTCGTAATTGTTCTTTATTTCATTATGTCAATTCTTATAATTGTGCCTACCTCTAAAATTATCTTTTGAATTCAGATTTAATTTAGGCTGTTGAATTTCAGTTGTTTGAATTTATTCAACTAGGAATACAACTTGGGTGGGCTTGCATTGGGCTTTTGTCAAAATTTGAATGGGCCCAGCCCGAAGAAGTGTAAAATGTTAGCTTGGGCAAACCTGAGTTGCACCCCAATATTCAACAATCCCCAATCCTAAACATACATTTCTCTTGGTAACTGCCTTAAAAGTTTTAGCACCTAGTATAATCTCATTTATCTTACTTTGCCATTTTGTTGGCAGGGAATGGGCGAACCATTGAATAACTACATTGCAGTAGTAGAAGCTATCCGGACTATGACAGGATTTCCGTTTCAGCTGTCACCAAAGAAAATTACAGTATCAACTGTAGGTACTAAAAACTGTCACCACCTAATGCATTGTCACTTTCCTTAAATAAGAGTATTTCAACCACACCAATTATCTTCTATTTTGATTTACTTGAGGCTCTGTATTTTGTCTGCTAGAGCAATTAAATCTATTTTGTACTACTTACCAGACCCATTCATGGGATGGTTTTCTGGTGTAAGAAATCACACCTAGTTTTCTTTCTTTTTTTTTTTTTTCCTTTCTCATTTACTAATATAAATGAACCATATGACTCGAGTATAGAATAAAAGTTGCCAATGAATTGAATGTCAGTAATTTGATGATTGAAGGGGATTCAGAATTGGTTGTGTGCTGTCTGAAGGATCTGGAGTCTGTAACTTGGTGATATAGGGATGAAGTTAAGAAATATAAATGGTTGACAGAGAGTATGACTGTGAGTGAGGGGTGGGAAGAGAAAATATATTCTTGGCACAACTGTAAAAATATAATTTTGGGGGGAGATAAGAGAGTTTACCTCTCAGTCTTTGTATTTTTCTGTACACATTTCTTAATATTAATGAACTTGCAGTAATTGATAAAAAAGATGACTGACCATTCATTGGGTTGAGAGGCCAGCTAATGTAATGGCTGATACATTAGCCAAGGAAATAATTATTTTGGGCTCAGTTGTAATCTGCACTTTCTTTTTTTATTTTGGAAGAAGTTGCATCTTGCGCCTTTTTCTAAGTGATGCTTGTACCATATACAACTAAAAAAGCATTATTCATAAGTACAATACAAAATTTAAGGAGTCTATTTCCCTACTTTTTATAATTTTGCAGATGATCTTTTTCTCTGAGCTGTCAATTTTGCTGATTTGTGGAAAACCAATCACATAAAAAAGGTTTTTTTTTGTAGTTGTTAAGATATTATTTATTCTTTTTTTTTTTGTGGGGGGGGGGGGTATTAGATAACATGGAAGGGTTAATTAATTTGAAGCTAACCCCTTCCAAGTGTCTTTATGATAGGGCAAAAGAGGGCGGTGAGTTCTGAATTTAATGTAAGAAAGCCTGAAAAGGACAAGAGCCATGAACTATTATATCTTTGTTAATTTTTTGAAGGATTAAATTTGGGATTCCATCCATAGAGTGTTCCTACTAAGTTGCTATTCTTAATGGTGTGATATTTTAACTTGAAGAGAACAAATCCATAATTGTAGTGGGAAAATGTTTTTAATGATAACCTATCAAAAAAAAAAAAAGAATGCTTTTAATGATAGTGGTACTTCTTACATGGGGAACTCCAATGTGGCATTTGTTTCCATTGAATGTACCTATAAAGTCTGAGAAAATGACTTCTCAGAGATCCCAGTTCATTTGCTGCAACCTCTAAGAAAGATCACTTAATTGTTAAATTGCCTCTTAGCAGCTTAGAGGGCTACTTTGTAAACACGCTAAGAGACTTTTAAAACAGGCTTTTTTCCCCAAAAATTTAACCATATGAAATTTTGTTTTTAGCACAACTTTCGCTATTTTATCTTCCTACCCAAAAGTGAAATGTTTCTTTTCACCATGTTTTCTCACAAGAATAGAGAGATAGAAGAGAGATGAGATAAGAGAGGAGAAGAGAAGGGGAAGAAAGATGTGTGAGAGTCAAAAAGTTAGGCTGGCCGCGCCCAGCTTCTCTTTTATAATAATATGATATAACAAATAAAAAAAGAAATTACAAGTAGGTCCCTGGCAGTCCACCCTAAAAATAAAAACTTAAATAAAAGAAAAGAACATGCTGACAACAATCTAGGCTGACAGCAATCTAACAACAGAAATAAAACACTTCAATCCGACAACACACCAATGTTCCCCTTTGCATTGGGGAGCTAACGACAGTGGCTTGCAAACCTGTTAGAAACCAGGAACAAAAGGAAGTCAGTAAACCAGTTATCAAACAAGTTTACTCAAGGAAAACAGAACGTGGAATAAAACCAGCTATGCAACATCCAGCTAAGCAAGACCCAGCTATGCAAGAGACAAGTGGTAATCTTGATTCTTGAATTCTTGAGTTGTTACAACTACCAACTTGTACATCTATAGATAAAAGGCAAAGCTACAAGAAACACACCTTGATTCAACCCAGAATTCTCTCTATTCTCTCTTCCTTCTCTAGGAGATTACACCATCTCGAATCAGTGTCTGTGTTGGCCAGAAACCCAACAGTTGGTATCAGATCTAATAATGTCAAGCACACGCTCCACCATGGAAGACAAGGTCAATCAAATGGAGATTGGCCTGCACAAGGTTACCACTAACCTTCAAAACATCAAGGAATCACTGAATGCCATATTGGCTCAAATAGGGAGGAGCGCCACCGACAACAACTTGGAAGGCAATCAGGAAGTTACCAGTCGAGAACACAGACAGACCAGCACTCGACCAGGAAAATTGGATTTCCCAAGGTACGCCAGCAATGATCCAATCCCTTGGATTTTCAAGGCCAAACGCTATTTTGAGTTGCACGAGACACCAAGCAACCAATGTGTTCTTATGGCTTTGTTCCACTTAGAAGGCGAAGCCGTTGTCTGGTTCTAATGGTTTTGGCGCTCACATCCTCAAGTTTCCTGTGCAGACTTCACCGAGGCTTTGTGCGTGAGATTTGGACCAACAGGGTTCAAAAATCACGACAAGGCCCTGTCCAAAATACGACAAAAGGGGAATTGTCCGAGAATACTAGCAAGAGTTTGAGAAGCTAGCAAATCGTGTACAAGGCTGGCTGGAAACCACACTACTTGAGAGCTTCATCGGTGGCCTGCACGAAGACATCAAAGTTGAGGTGAAGATCATGCAGCCCTCCCTGTTATGGCTGCCGTAGGACTCGCACAGCTGTAAGAAGAAAAATTAAATCAGTGGAAGAAGATAGGACGATCATCACAGTCTACCCCTATAATCAAGAATCCACCTAGGATTGAACCAATTCAATCTAGACCCATGATATCACCAGCCCTAGGGCATAGCATGCCCTCACAAGCCTTAGTCCCCTACAAAAGGCTTTCATGGGCTGAAATGCAGAATCTCCGAGAGTGCGACCTCTTCTTTGAAGAGAAGTTTGGCCCAGGACACAAAGGCAAGACTCAGAGGGCCTATCTCCACCAAACCGATGAACCCGAAGCACCTGAGGATCTTGCAAACTCTAGCAACGGGGAGGAGAATAGCCAAGACACACTGGAGATCTCTCTACATGCCTTGAGCAGCTCCAGCTCCCCAAGAACAATGAGGGTTGAAGGTTTAGTGCTGGCTAAGCCTGTATCTGTATTGATAGATAGCGACAGCATGTTAAACTTCATTTCTGAGATTTTATCCAAGCAGTTAGGCTTAACTGTATATTAGACCCAACCCTTCAATGTCTGGGTCGCCAACGATCATAATCTTCCTATTCGGGCCTATGCAAAAATGTCATCATGAAGGTACAGGGTTATTTTCTTCAGGCCGACCTGCACCCTCTGCTGTTCTCAGGAGCAGACATTGTGCTTGAGCTTGGCATCCATTGTCTCACCCAGCTAGGCCCCGTGATGTGTGATTGGGAATGCATGGCAATGGATTTCTTTGTAGATGGTATGGATTGCCATCTCCAAGGTGTAAGACCCACAACAACCCAGAATCAAAGTCTCCATTCCATGAGTAAGTGTTGCAGACAGCAAGGACACCATCTTTTGATGAATATAGGCCTAGGTGCATACAGTCCCAAGCTGACAGAATTGAATCAGGGTCAAACACAAGAGACACCAATGGAGTTTCAATGGCTCTTGACAAAATTTGTGGATGTATTCAAAGAACTCCAAGGGCCCAAGGGCTGCCACCGTCAAGACAAAGTGATCACAGCATTCCAATTGCACCAGGTTCCCCACCTACAAACATAAGAACCTATTGGTATCCAAACTCTCTCAAAAAAAAAAAAAAGAAAAGAAATAGAGAAGATTGTAGCTGAATTGATATCCAAGCAACATATACAACCCATCTCAAGTCCATATTCATCACCAGTGTTGCTTGTCAAGAAAAAATATGGTACTTGGCGATTCTGCATTGACCAGCTCAAGTCCCTTTCTTTTTTCTCTTTTTTTTTCTTCTCTTTCTTTTTCTTTCCCTTCCCCTTCCCCTTCTTTTCTTTTCTTTTCTTTTCTTTTCCTTTCTTTTTTTCTTTTTCTTTTTTTTTTGTCTTTTTATTTAAGATGTGCATGAGGCGCATGAGGCGTACGCTCTAGCACGCCTCATGAAAAAGTGTATGAGGCCTACACCTCTCGCTCGCCCAAGACCACCCCCCCTTCAACTAAAAGATTTTTATTCTTCTTAATATAAAAGATTTTTATTAAAAATAAAGAAAAAAATGAGATCCCCCCTTCCTCTTCATCCTCCTCCCCTTCCTCCTAACCCCCCTCCTCTCAAGGAGGCTTACGCCTCTTGCGTTCTGAACTACACCTCCACGTTTTAAAACATTGGCATTGACTACAGGGCATTAAACAAGATTACTGTGAAAGATAGATTCCCAATACCACTGATTAAAGATCAGCCACTATCTTCTCCAAATTGGATTTAAGATCCGGCTATCATCAAGTAAGGGTCCACCCGGATGATGTCCACAAGACGGCATTTAGGACACATGACGGCCACTATGAGTTCCTAGTGACGGGTAGAAACCCAACGGAACCTGTGGGGTGCTAAACTTCACTTTCATTTTTCATTATGCCATGCTGTTTTGTCTTCTCCAGTTTTAGAGAGATAAATTTGTAAAATGGGCTAATTTTAGATGTTATAACATTTGGATATTTGAACGTTTCAATTGCATTCAGATGCAAACTCTGCTATTCATTTTTTTTTTTCTTTTTTCCTCTTTTTACCAAACCATGCAAAGATGGGCTATTGCCTCTTGTGCAGAAAAAAATTATATCATGGATTGTAATTTACTTATTTTGAGTCTGTATTTGTGATAGTATGATAGATGTGATAGATTAATTATGTATACACTATGCATCAAATAGGTGCACTAATTGCTTCTAATGTTGGATAGGTTGGGATCATTCACGCCATCAACAAACTCCATTCTGACCTACCAAATGTGAACTTGGCTGTGTCACTGCATGCACCGGTTCAAGATATCCGCTGCCAAATAATGCCTGCAGCTCGTGCTTTTCCTCTTGAAAGACTTATGGATACATTAAAAAACTATCAAAAAAACAGGTTAGAATTGGATATGCATTTCTTCTATGATCCTTAAAATTTCTGCTGTAATATCAACATTCTACAATTTAGGATTATTGTTTTTTGATTTTTCAGTCAACAGAAAATATTTATTGAGTACATAATGCTGAATGGGGTGAATGATGAAGAGAAGCATGCCCACCAGCTTGGAAAATTGCTAGAGACATTTCAAGTGGTGAGCTCCATAACTTGAATTTATGAATGACAGACTACTGGTTTCTTGAAAAATCTATATCACCTGAAAAACTGCCCTTATGGTTTATTTAAAGAGAGAAGTAGAAATCAAGAACAATAAAGCGGAAACTAAGTAAATTTTTCAAGACGTCCATAATTTCTGTTTATGGAAATTTGGAATCTCCCTTTTCTAATCAAATTTTGCTGTAGCTATATGCTTTCACCAAATTGTTGGCACTCTTACAACCAGTGTTGAGAAAACTGGACTTGCACAACAGGTTGAACCAGTTGGACTGTGACTCAGGCCCTTGGCTGGTTTGGTCATACCCTGAAAACTGTTATTCATGAAAAACCAGCTGACCAGTCAGTTTAACTGGGAAACTGGGTATAACGATCCTGGTTTTATGAAACTACCCAGGTCACAACACGAGTAGAAATTTCAAAATAGTAATGACAAGACGTGAACCCAAAGACCTCTTATTTATGTGTATTGTCTTCATTCGATTAATCCATATCTTTATTTTATTTATTTGTGCCTCTTTAATGTATATATTTGCTTTAATACACTTATTTTCAAGAAAATGTGAGTTAAGAGACTTAACCTTTGTTATGGGCCCGGGCGTAGGATCTCGTCACGGGTCGAGAAAGCCCTGCTTTCCCTTGCGCCTTCCCTTGCATGCAGAACCTATTGTGGAAAACCGAATGGGTGATTTGTCCAAGAGACCACCCAAACTCTCCGAATGGGTGATTTGTCCAAGAGACCACCCGAACTCTCCTCACTCTTCTCTTGACTGGAAAACTGAATGTCTTTACTTCAACTCGTAGCTCCTTAAATAGGAGATTACAAAAGGAAATTCCTTGTTGGATTCGGCTAGGCTAGGGTAATCCAACTCAAACTCAAACTCCTAATTACCAACTCCTAATGGTAACACAACTCTTACTTAAGAAGATAAGATAAGATAAGATAAGGATAAGGGATAAGGAATGGTGAAGCTGGCGGCGAGTTGGTGAGCAGAGCTGATGTGGTAAGATAAGTGTGGACCCACCCTGATGAGCTGTAGTGTGGGCCCCGCCCTACTACTGCTGCCGGGCGGTGCGCGCGTCTCGCAGTGCTGCTCCCGTGAGGTGCATGCTGCTGCCGTGCGGTGCGTGCTGCGCGCTGCCAGGCTGTTGTGCGGCGCTGCCGGGCGGTGCGTGCTGCTGTGTGGCCCGCTGTGCGTGTTGCTGTCTATGGCTGCGTTGCAGTGCGCTGCCGGGTGGTGTGTCCATAACATCACACCCCTCCTCCAGTAGGCTTCGGGTTTGTCCAAGCCGCTGTTGGGCATCCCATGCTGGACGGCCCTCGGCTAATCTGCAGTTTGCACTCGAAGGCTCGGGCTAAATTCATTGCCGTGACCAGGTTAGGCGGGCTCTGCATCTCTACATCAACT